TGTCCCTAATAGTAAATGCTGGGATGAGGAAATGTTTGCAGTATTTTCTAATGTTAAGGTAAGAGTTGAGTGACTATTCAAGGGAAATAGTTTGTACTGAGCGCTCAGAAACACTGTCTGGATGGAAATCTGTTAATGCTATTGGTGCACCTTTGTTTGTTTTGGGTCTAAATGAGGTGCAGTTTAATAAACAGGTTCAGTATAAAATCCAGATTCAAGAGTAAAAAAAAAAAATGCCAAAACAAAACTGCTCTTTTAGAGTTTTAAATGAATGTGGGTTTTATTTGCAGGTTTGTCAGCAACTAAAAAACAAAAAATGATCAAAGGGTTAGCAAGTGGTGATGTTTCAAGTAAAAGATTTTATCTCTCTGCAAAAAAGAAAGTCTATTTTTGTTTTTATAAAATTCAGATTTATATCTTTTTGATAAATTAACAGGAAAGGTTTCCTCGAGCTGATTTAGCATTATTTTTATGGCACACAAAACGCATACAAGACTTCTAAAGGCTCTTCAAGTCCCGAGTGTCAAAGAGGCAACCCTTTTCCCGCTGCATTTCCAGTGTGACCCATCCACAGTCTGGCAGTCTGTGGAGAGCCACAGGATCCAGCCTCACAGAGCCCGTTTGTATTTTCTCCCATCCTCTGAGCTTTTGAAAACACCCAAATTTGATTTTAGAGTGAGTCTACAGGAGCCTTTAGCCTATTTACTGAATCAGACGTCCCTCTGTCTTGTCTCGCAGCCCGCCTGCTTGCCTGCCTGGTTGGTTGCAGAGAGGCCCCAATAGGGACAACAGACGGAAAGAAAACACACACACACACACATTTCAAACACTTGCAGATGACTTTAATTCCTTCTCCTCCTTTGTTGCCAATTTATTTGGTAACCTACTTTGAATTGATGCTTTTTCAGAATGAGTTATAACTCCTTTGGTTTGTCAGAAGGAGGTTTTAAAAGAGAAAGAAAAAAAGTAGGCTGAACAGCAGCACTAATTAATGTGGTGCGGCTGACAAGTGTTGCTCCTAAAACAATTTCATTACATCACCAATTTAAATTACAGAGGAAGGAGACACTGGAGGTTGCGCTTGTTCTTAGTGTGTTTACACACTTTCTTAGACAGACACAAAGAGGGAGTGGAAGCAGTGTAACAAACACCAGCAATCCAATGCAACACTTTTGCAATGAACACAAAGCCAGATTCAAGCTTTTTGATAGGTTTTTTTTCACCTTAGATAAACACGTCTTTTTGTAACAAGAATAACATCTCTGTTATATTTCATAAATCTGATTATGGCTGGGCAATTATAATCACAATTTAGAAAATGAGCTATTTTGAAATCACAAAGGCAGTCAATTTTAGCAAGAGTAAGACACCAAATTTCTGGTGGCAGAGATACACTTAAATTGCTTTGCCAACACACAGGTGACCTTTTCATGTAAAAACTACAGTCAAGTCCTGCAAAAATGGACTCATTAAGAAGTAAACATACGAGCTCATGAAAAAACATAAACTGTGGAGTAAAACAGAGACATACATTTGCTTAGTGCAAAGGAAAATTACAACAAAAACCGCAATCATGATATTGGTTGAAAATTATCGCAATTTATATTTTTGGCACAATCTTTCAGCCCTAAATCTGACAAAACTTTTATGCAGCTACCTGTAAACATTTTAAGACAAACTCATTTTACTCTCTGCCAATAAGCCTCCTTATTGTTTTTTTGTGTATCGGAAGGAAGGGGTGCAGCAGTGATCACGCTTTACATCCACACACACAATCACATTTTTTTTCCACTTTTTTTTTTACATACATTAAAAAGACAATAACCACAGTATTGTCCAGTTAAGCTGTTCTAAAATATCACATTTGGTATCACTGTAAATCTCCATTTTCCAGCATAGGAATATCAACAAAAAATAAATAAAAAATAGACTTCCCCTTTGGAATATTTTACCATAACAACAACCTTTAGAAAGAGAGGATTTCAGGATTGAAGCTTTTTAAGCAAAATTAGAAAAGAAAAATAAATGTATTCTTTTTTTTTAAATAGATCCTGAAACAATATTAAATAAAATAAGAAAATACAAATAAAACTCAAAACATCAACACTTAACTGCCCTGATCAACGCAGTATATTCCTATAACTCTATCAGTGTGAGAATGTGTGCATGAAAGGGTGAATGAATGGGATCCTTGAACTTGATAAAGCACTAAAAGTACAGGGCATTTATCATTAAATAATCCTCGTCTGGAATAAGATTAAAACGTTTTCTAATCTTGGATCCAACCGCAATGCCATAGTACTTTAGAACTTATCAATAAAATGAAAGCAAAAATGTAATTCAAATTGAAGAGCAATGACTATTACTACTGTAGCTAAAACATTACACTTCTCAAATGTGCTATAGTAGGTTATTAAAAAATGAAATTAACTTTAATAAGAGTCCGCTCATTTCCTAACCCACATTGCTCATGATTCTCAGAACTGTTTTTTTTTTTCCAAATGGCACAATTTGTCTTTTAAACTTAACTGCATTAATTCAGCCAGCTGAATGGCAGTGGGAAGCAAGATGTGGGAGTTGGGGGATGGTTGTTTCACTCAGGTAAAGCACTTGGAATTGTGCTATATAAAAACATTTGCCTAGCCTTCTGTTATACTAATGGCAAAAGCAACATTTTCATTTGCTGCTTCATGTCTTGGGGCAACTTGATTAAAGCTTTCTGATGCCAAAAACAGTGAGATTGATATGCTTTTGCAATTTTTAAACCAGAACTTTAAAAAAAAACAACCTTGAAACAGTTTGGCACTGGTAATAAACAAAAATACTTGTTTTTTTAACAGTTGCATTTCAAGCAATATATTTTTCTTGGTACATTGGCTATAAATTATTTAATAGAGTATCACTAAAAATGTAAAATACCTGGAAGAACAATGAATTATCCATAAAATGCATACAAGGTTTTCATTAAACAAGCTTCATTTTGATAAATATGTTGTCTGTTACAGGACTAATAACGGTTTTGCTCTTTAATTAAATTAGATGCCAGTATGACAAACTCTTGGGGAAGGGATTCATGCTAAGAATAAGAGCTCCTAAACTCCAGCTGTCCTGTAGCAGGGTGGAGGGTAACGCTGAGCTTAAGCCCAGATTCCTCGACCTCTGCTTCTGTCCATGTCAGGTCTGTTGCAGACTGCATCCCGGAAAAGCAACGCCAACTGCATCCTATGGTAACGGTGTCTAGCTCCGCTCCGAGTTCTTTGACCTCCAAAGATGCACATGCGAGAGGTGTGGACCAGAGCAGAACAGGAAATAGAGTTGCTATGTATTTTGGCGGGGAAGGACAGGGAGCATGTCCGTGGACGGAGATGTTTGGAGGAGTCATGGAGAAAGTGGAATGGAAAGCAACATGGAAGGGAGCCAGGGTGTAATAAGTGTTCTTTGCCGTTTCATTCTTTTGTCCCTCTTAATCTCTCTCACCAGTTTTCCACCATGTTTATCCAACGCAAACAGAGTTGTTTTGGTTTGTTCGATCATACACTGCGGCGGTGTGTTAACGTCTTTACATTGCGCTCATTAGTATTGTATAAACTAGCGGGTCGACCCGCATCTGATGTTCCCACTGTATGCTGATGGAGCTGAGCTGTTTGAAGGCAACTTCAACACAGGTCGCTTGCCGAAAACACGGGTCAGTGAGCCGTTCCCACTGCCACTAAAAGCAGATTTTTTTCCAGTGGGAAGGGGGTTTAAAAAAAAAAAGTCCATGTGAATCTCAAAATAATATCAACCCATTAACCAACACTAACTTGACTACCAGGAAGAAACAGAGGGGCAAACTCAGTCAACAGTGTGAAGGGACAGCCTGGTCGCAGGTTCAGTGTGAATGACTTTCTGCAGCAGGTCTGCACCGCAGCTGTGCCGCCTTCAGTGTAAGCCCAGCCTAATGAAAGAGCAGCAGTCTCCACCTCCTCCTCCCTCTCTCTTGCTATCCCTCCTCCCATCCTGAGCACCCCCCCTTCTCTCTCTCTCTCTGCTGCTGCTCTGCCCTGGCTGGCCTCACATCCAGACAGCAGGAATTTAACGGGGAGGGTCTGCCAGACTTAAGACACAGGGCTGCAGGCTGAGACCAAATGAGGCACTGCTGGTTACCAACACAGATTCTGATTTGGGGTTTTGTGCAAAGCAAACAGGATGCACAGCCCAGTCTGTAGAGAAAGATCAAGGGTGGGTGTGAGCACTGCAAGATTTCTGGGAGGGCATCAGCTTTATGGCCATCTGGGCACTGTAACCGAAATATTCCTAATACAATAAAAAGCATATCATAATTAAAAGGTATCTGCTTTGAATAATAACCCCCCTAAAATTGGATTGAAAGATGTTGCAAGAAAGATTCAATCACAGATGTCCTAATTGACCTCAAACTGGGAGACATTGGCTTTCTGGAATGAATTCAGCAAATAGTGTCATGCATGCAAACCGAAGTGCCAAACATACAGGTGTTGTATAACACAGCAGAGCAGAGTAACACTTGGACATGCCACCTAATTGCATTACAACAGGTAGCCGATAATAGCCTTGATGGGAGTCAACAAGCCCAGAGACACACGGCTGACTGGAAGCTAAGTGACAGACATTCATCCGAGCCACCAGCTGATCCACACCACACATAAACCCTAAATCAGCTCTCTATCAAACATATTCCCACTGTATGGCCAGAGCGCATCCCCCCCTTCTTCTTTAAATAATCCCAGCAAATGTTAGGGGTTGAGCACAACTCGCTGGCACGATGTTTACATACAATGGAGCAAACAGTCTGGGCTATTAGAGCGCTCCGACGCGCAGCCACAATTTGGCCCCTTGACACCAGCGGCTGTTGAAAGGTTTCCAGGAGGTCAGCCTATTGTTAGCAGGTAGTGTCCGTCCAGCGGGAGGCACAATCCCCAGCATTCAAACTTGGCTTTTCAAGAATAATTCAGCAGAAAATAACCAGGTGCGAAACTTACTTTCTGCTCGAAGCTCAGAAGCAAAGGCGCGTATTGTTCCTTCCACGCCGCGTGTTTTTACGGCGCTCCGCTCCTTCGCTCGCTTCACTTCACAAAGACGATGTGAGACAAACCCCGAAGACGGTGTGACTGACTGACTGACTGACTGACTGAATCAACTACCGTAGAGCACGGCAAGTTGAAGTGTCAGATTACACTGGCTATTCAGTTACCAGAGAGAAGCCGTGCGCGGCGGCGCGAGGGAAAAGGCGGCCCAGATTCCCATCAGCGCGCGGAGCTCATAATAACGTCATAATAACATGTTCACTGTATATTAAAGCTTAACTTTTTAAGCTGTATATATATTACCTACTATTATTATTAAATATTAGTAGCAATAGTATTGTTGTTGTTTTTGTTTGTTTTTTTCCAAATTTAGCAAGTCGTTTTAATTAATTTAATTGTGTGATTTTTTTTTTTTTTACTTAATTCATGAACTCCGCAATAAAAATGTATTTAGAATGCCAAGTTCACAGAATTAAGTTTCAGCCTACGGAAGAGGATAAGGGTAAGTGGAAAAAGACAAAAAAAGTTAAAAGTTTTTTTAATTTTATTTTAGTATAATATAAGAAAAAAGTTAGAACTGTGACTTTAATGTCAGAATTCCGACTT